GGAACTCAGGGCCATTCCACCAAAGGTTGTTGTGCTCCAAGGCTCCAGGTAGTTGGCCGCGCGAGACGATGTCGGCAGGGTTCTGCAGCGATCTAACGTACTCCCACCGGAATCCACCAGTGTGTTCTTGTATTACAGCGATTCGGTTTCGGACGAATAATAGGAGTTGGTTGAGCGGTTTCTTGATCCAGGCTAGGACAATCGTACTGTCACACCAAAGTACAATTTCCCGGAACTCCATATCCAGGGCAGGTAATACCTTCAGAACTAATCGTGTCAGCAGGAGAGCGGCGCAAAGTTCTTTTCGTGGGATGGAAAGATCGTGAAGAGGGGCCAACTTGGATTTGCTTGTCAGTAGGCGGAGCTTCGCTGAACCATCGTTGAACAGGCTTCGTAGGTAGATGCAGGCCCCGTACGCCACTGTTGAGGCATCGGAGAACCCGTGCAATTCGAACGCGACGACTCCTTGGAATGTCACGCATCTTGGGATGGCGATGTTGTGCAAATGCGACAACGAAGCTTGAAGTTCTTGCCACTTTTGCGCCGTGTCTTCATCAATCGGATCGTCCCATCCGACCTTGAGCTGCCACAACCGTTGAGCCATTAGTTTTGCCAATACGATGACTGGAGAGACCAGCCCAAGAGGGTCGAAGAATTTGGCTATCTCCGAATACATTACCCTCTTCGTAACACGTTGTTGTAATGGCGGCGGTAGCTTCGGATGGTTTGCAATGTACAGCGTATCGGCATTCGGATCCCAGAGCAAGCCAAGGACCTTGATAGCTTCGTTTACATCACGTTCTTCTAACGGTACCCTTTTTTCCTGGTCTTCCACGGGAATGCGCTCGAGAAATTCTTTGGAGTTCGAGCACCATTTATGTATCGGAAAACCACCACGTCCTAGGAGCTGCTTCAATTGTTGTTGAGCTTCGATTGCATCTTCCACCGAGTCTGCGCCGGACAGTACATCGTCCATGTACGTCTCCTCCTTTACAATGCGAGAGGCGATAGGAAAAAACTCACCTTCTTCCTCGACGAGCTGTACCAGGCACCTTGTTGCGAGGTATGGAGCGGATGCTGTACCGTAGGTAACAGTACACAGTTCCAGAACCCGTAGCTTCTGCGACGGGTGTGGTCTCCAGAAGATTCTGAGGAAACGTCGATCTTGTAGTGCTTGCAGTACCTGCCGGTACATCTTGGCAACGTCTCCAGAAAAGGCGATCTTGAACTTTCTGAAGCGTAGGACGATGAAATGCAGATCATTCTGCACCACAGGACCGACTTGCAGGACTTCGTTTAAAGACAGCTTTTCGGATGACGACTTGGCACTTGCATCGAACACGACACGACATTTTGTGCTCGAGCTGGACGGACGCAGTACAGCGTGATGTGGAAGATAATACCTCTGCTGGTTGGGAGGATCATCAGCTTCATTGATTTCACGGCAATGTCCGAGAACCTCGTACTCTCGAACGAACTCTACGTACTGCGCTTGTAGTTCGGGATTGTTCATCAGTCGTTTCTCCAGCATCAGGAACCTCTTCAGAGCTAAAGCACGGCAATCGTCCAACTGCGAAGAATTTTCGTTGAACGGCAAGCTCACGATAAATCTTCCGGACTCGTCACGCTGGTATGTGGACAGAAAGTGTGCTTCGCATGCCATCTCCTCGGTTGATAACTTGGGTACGTCCGGCACTTCCTCGATTTGCCAGAACTTGTACATCTTTCGCTCGATGTCTTCAAGAGAAACGTGGCTGGCATGCTGAACTGATACGTTTGAAATCTGTGGCTCGACGATGACACCAGATACGATCCACCCAAGGTGAGTGTCTCGCAACTGTGGCAGGTTGTCCGCCAGGTTGAGTTGGCTTGGCTTCAGTATATCAAAAAACAGCTCTGCGCCGATCAACAGGTCCACCTTATCGGGCGTGTGGAACTCGGGATCGGCAAGAACCACTCCAGCAGGGATGTCCCAATTGTTGATGTTGATCTTCGACGATGGAATTGTGCCCGTTACTTTCGGCGTCACTAGGCACTCGAGGCTGGCTTGGAAGTTGGATACTCGGGACTTGAATTTCAGCGTCACCTTGTCACGAGCGAGGGTGCGCAACGCGTTGATACCGGTGATCGAAACGTTGGCTGGCTTCTTCGGCAGACCCAGGCGATTGGCCATGTCTTCGGTCACGAAACTCACCTGGGAGCCGCTGTCCAACAGGACGCGGCATGGATGGGGATGACTCTTCTTATCAAACACCTGCACCACTGCGGTAAGCAGTAGTACCGTCTTGGTCGACTGGGCGAAGTTTGACGAACAGGTGGTGGACACAGGATGTTCCACGGGGGCAAGAATCTTCTGCACCGACGTCGACGGTTGACTTGGAGCAGCCGGAACCGGTGGCGGGATTGCCATAGATTCCGCGGAAAGAGAAATGTTTGGCATTTTCTCCTGGGTGGGTGCCCCATCATCATGGAGCAACGTGTGGTGTCGGCGCTGACACTTGTGGCACGTCTTGATTGAAGGGCAGTTCTTGGAACGGTGTCCTTTGCGCAGGCAGTTAAAGCAGACTCCTGCGGCTCGGATCTTTTCGTTCTTCTGGGAAGCGGTTAGGTTGTTCAGGGCAGTGCACTGGAAGTTCCGATGATCACCACCACAAATCTCACATGCTTGGGACGCATTGGTGGAAACTGCGTGGCTCTTCTGCGGCTGAACTCTTGAAGGTAGCTGGGCTTGTTTTGGCTTGATTGTTGGCGGCACTGACTGGAACGCTGCTTCGCAGTTTTCCAGAATCTGGCATCTGGATTTCAGGAACTCGATGACTTGGGAATACTTCGGAAGATCTCCTTTCTTCTGGGTCCCTTCCCAGGACTTACGGGTCGATTTATCAAGTGCTGAAATTATCAGATACACAATGATGTGTTCTGAAACTCCGGTGATTTGTTGCTGAAGGTAGCGCAAACTTTCGACGTGATGAGTGGCTTCGTTCAGCAGTGTTCGCAGTTCCTTATGAGACTCCGACGTCATCTTCTTGAGGAACAACAACCCACGGATGTGAGTTTCCACTATGACTCGCTTGTTCTCGTATCGGTCCGTTAAAATGGTCCAAGCTTGCTCGTAGTTACCCTCGCTTAGGAGCTTAGCGTCCAGAACTCCAGTAGCATCTCCGATAAGAGCTTTATCTAGGTGATACAATTTTATGGCATTTGTATCCCCCGAGTTGGCCATCAGGTCCTGGAAGATGGCCTTGAACTTGGGCCATGCGTCGTAACTCCCATCGAACGTTGGGATTGGTGCTTTTAACGGTTGCTGCTGGATAATCACGTGAGGTGCTGCTGGAATGGCTGGAGGAACCTTTGGAGTGGCTCGAGCTTTTGCCTCTAGCAGTAACTCTTCCACAGCATTGGATACGTCGTAGTACAGTTTCTCGAAGCTTGCGTATTCGTCATCCTGTCCATCGAGCGCTTCATCGGGTACCAGGGCTATTACCTTGCTGTGGAATTGGCTGTACTCAGCGTAGGTAACAGCCAGGTTCTTGGATAGCACACCAAGTTGTGCCAATCCAAGCGTCTCATTGATCAACGTCCGATTAATCCGCACCAACTTCATTTTCGCTTGGGAGCGCTGGCGAACCAATCCACGATATTTCTTTGCTGTAGCTTCATCCCAGTCGGCTTCCCATTCGTCGAATCCATGGAACGATCCAGATCCATCCGATGGTGACGGATTTCCTTGTTGCTGTTCGACACCAGCATCTTGCACGCCATCGCGAGTCGCACCAGCATCTTGCACACCATCGCGTGTCGACGAACGCGTAATAGGCATTTTCGTATTTTTACGAAATCACTTTGTCTTTAATTTGTCGCGAACGCGCACACGAACTCGATTCACTTGTTTATTCGCGCACGACGGGCATCGGCAACAGCGGAAGCAGTTTTGTTTTGGCACTGTTTGCTAGCGTAGCTCGTCCTTTTCCCTACTCGGAAGGCGGCAGGCAGTTCGATCCTTTTGGTAGGACTGGGCAAACTTTCGGGCGAAAGCTTCTTCAAACGGCTCGCTATCCGGTTCGTGATGGACCAAATTATGTTCGGACTGGGAGGGAACTTTCCCTTTCGGTAGTGGACTGTATCGGCAGGGTGGTGGAGGAAGCAAGCGTCGATCGGAAATCAACTCGTAAGGGCTCTGAAAAGAGCTGGTGGGTTCGACGCTGCTCCAAACCAGGGATGTGTGCAAAATAAACTTGAAAGGGGCGGCTACGCTAACAACTGTTTATTCTCTCCTCTTTCTCTTTACAAATTCTGCTTCTACTGCTGCTGATGTTTGCTGGTGCTTGGTCGGAAAAGAACTCTTCTTTGCACGGTGATGCATGCCTCTTTTAAAGCGGCGAGCGTTGATGTGGTCGTCGCTGATTGGTGGATGTTGTAGCCTATTGATGGTCTCGTTCTTCGCTGCTTGTTGGTTGTGTTCGTATCAGTTGACTTTCGGCGGAGACGGAACAGAGTCAATTAATCTCAGTCGCTGAGTTGGTATGATTGGCCGTGAACGTTTGAAGTGTGATGATCCTCGGTTTAATTGTCGGTGTTTCGCTGTTGTTCTTCTGCTGAGAACCCGGTGAAAACAGGAGATGATTGACCCGATGTCGTTGGCTGGAAATCAGCGATACTGAATACCCCCTCGGCTGGAGCGATGCTATTGTTCGATGTGGCTACATCCAAACATTTCTGTTTGGGATGTGCTGCTCGGCCACATAGTACGTTTTATTTGAAAAATAAAAGCGGGAAGGGATCTAATTGTAAATAATGGTCATCGGCCCAAGAAATACCTAATAGGCGAGGGGGCCTTATAAATAAACGCAATAAAAAAAGTTTCTGGGTCAAATACTCCTGTGTGTCATTAAATTCGTGATGAGGATGAGATTAAAAAAAGATAACATTTTTTTGCAATATATAACATAAAAATCCAAGATAGAGTTTACCTTACACTATATCCTAATTTTTTGTTTTAGGTTACCTGAAGTACGATTTGATGAAGCCATACACGTTTTCGCATATTCTCTTCGGTATAGTGATAGGCACACTATTCATCGTGGTATCACTGGTTGTAATTTTAATTATTTATCGCCGCAAAAGTACCCAAGCAGAACGCGAATACAAGCGCATCCAGATCCAAATGGACACATTAGAAAGCAACGTTCGTATGGAATGCAAGCAAGCCTTTGCCGAATTACAGACCGACATGACCGATTTGACTGCAGATCTCGAAAATAGCGGCATACCGACACTAGACCATGTGAATTACATTATGAAGGTCTTTTTCCCAGGAGTTACAGATCATCCAATACTCAACTCGTCAAAGTTTAAAATAAATATGCCTCGAAACAATTATGATCAAGCAATGCTGCAATTTGAGCAGCTTATTAACAATAAGGTATTTTTACTTATATTTATCGAGACACTAGAAGCCCAGAAGTCATTTAGTATACGGGACAAGTAAGTTTATTTGTTATTAATAACATGTTCCTATCATTGAATCATGTTAAATATTTTTCAGAGTTAACGTTGCTTCCTTACTCATGATAGTTCTTATGAATAAAATGGAGTACGCTACCGATGTGCTGAAGTGTTTACTGTTGCGGTTAATTGACAAATCAGTTGTGACAAAACATCCACAATTGATGCTTCGGCGCACTGAAAGTGTGGTAGAGAAAATGTTAACGAACTACATGGCCATATGCATGTATGATTATTTGAAAGAATACAGCGGAAATTCGCTCTTTTTGCTATATAAAGCAATAAAACACCAGATTGAAAAGGGTTTAGTGGACGCGGTAACATACGACGCTCGTTACTCATTGAGTGAGGAACGGTTACTGCGGGAGCAGATTATGCACAGTGTTGTAACTCTGCATATAATACAGGACGATCTGGATGAAAAAATTCAATGCAAAGTGCTGGACTGTGATACAATTACTCAAGTGAAATCGAAAACACTCGATGCATTGTTCAAAAATACGCCTTTTTCGATGCGTCCTTCGGTCCACGATTTAGATCTAGAATGGCGACATGGTCGGGGCGGCCATTTAACATTACAGGTAAAATTAGTTTACATTTTTGTGCGATTAGTATGCTGCCCATAAAAGCATAACTGCCCCATATGAATAGGAAATCAAGCAAAGATGGGACAATTATGCTTTTATGGGCAGTATGGGTTATTTACAAATTGTGTTTCTTACATCATAGGACGAAGATCTTACCACCAAAACCATTGGTGGATGGAAACGTATTAATACTCTAGCCCACTATGGCATCAAGGAATCAGCTGTGATGTCTCTCATTGCCAGACAGAATGATAATTATAATAATTTTAATAACAAACAGCCATATCCGAATTGTTATTATATTAATAACTCTTCGTCTCACATTTCCATCAATGGCGATATGGTTCATCACACTCCGTCGTTGCAGCAAAGTCATATGTTGAACTTTCAAAATGTTGCGCAACAGCCTCAGCATGCTCGCATTTATCACCTAGTGCGACCAATCGACGAAAAGACAGCTTTTGGACAGCAACAAATCTTACACGAAAGAACCCATAAAGCTATTCCGGAAATATTTCTCACACGGTTGTTGGCTACTAAGGGTACCATTCAAAAGTTCGTGGACGATTTTTTTGGAACCATTTTAACTGTAAACAATATGCTACCACCTGCTGTTAAATGGATATTCGATATCTTAGACGATGCCGCTAAGCGGCATGGTATTATCGATCCAGATGTCGTACATGCTTGGAAGTCAAATAGGTTTGTAAAAATCTACTTGCTTTACCTATATAAACTTCATTGATTTTTTTTCTTGTAGTTTACCGTTAAGATTCTGGGTGAACTTCATAAAAAATCCAGACTTTATCTTTGATATTAACAAATCACCCAGTGTAGATGCCTGCCTCAGTGTTATAGCACAAACATTCATGGATTCTTGTTCTACAACCGAATATAGACTGGGCAAAGATTCACCGTCCAACAAACTACTTTTTGCTAAGGTAAATTCTTGTGAAGTCTAATCGATTTATGTCTGGTCTGTGTCTAAGCTTATGATTTCTTCTTGTCACAGGACTTGCCACATTATCGCGAAATGGTTGCAAACTTTTACGCTGAAATAGCACACATGCCTCAAATTAGTGATCAGGACATGTGCACTGCCATGCAACAGTTGTCCTTCCAGCAACAGGAAGAATTTGACGTTATAGCAGCGCTAAAAGAACTTTACATTTACGTAACGAAATATAGGGATCAGGTAAGTTGGTTGAGAAATAACGATGCAATTAAATTATGGCTTACTTACAATTAATAATTTATGTTAATATAGATCATAGATTCGCTGGATGAGGACATACACGCAAAAAAAATGCATTTAATACACAAACTTGAAAATGTTGCCTGCACGTTGGAAGGTAAGTTACTATAAAAGATTATCCTTAATACACTCGGAGAAGTAAACGTATGGAATTCTTAAGTTTAGCATTAAGGAAATTGACAAATTCGTAGAAAATTTATTTTGTAATGTTTCAATGGAATGCATAGAGGGCTCTGCTGATGCTTAACCAATTTATAACAATCTGTTATAAAGAGTTTGAGATTTCCTTTAAACTCCGTTATAATTGCTTATCTTTTGACAGATACGCGTATTTCGTCTACTACTTGCAGACTTCATTAGTGCCAAGTGGTGTTGAGTACCTACTTGGCACTGATGAAGTCTGCAAGTAGTTGACGAAATACGCGTATCTGTCAAAAGATAAGCAATTATAACGGAATTTAAAGGAAATAAACCAACCCACTCAAAGCTCTTCATAAAGGGATTCCGTTAAGAGGTTCGACAAATTTAAAGGATTAATCTCTTATAATTTCATAAGGTCATTTGTGCTGTTTTCAAATGTTACGCCGGATTTTATCTTAAAACCTTTCTACTACAACAACAATTTTGAAGAAAGTTAAATTGAACATTGAGATTTGAAATAGAGCCTAATATATTAAGTAAACGACATTTCCTTCATTCTCAAAAAAAAATTAAATTTACTAATCTAAGCTCTTTTTGGAAATAAGAAATGATGAAGACATCAATATATTCCATAGTGAAATACACATATTCTACACATGGTGTAAAAAAGCCTGTTAGAACTGAACGTAAAAAATGCAACTTAATGTCATTTAGCAGGAAAAGAACACCATCAAACATTTCAATTGCATTAGGAAATCAGAATGTAGAAAAATGTGAAAGAGTTAGGAACTTAGGGATTATCTTAGACTCCAAACTTGCATAGACCATTACAATTACAATAAGTCACAGGGCAAATAACATGATAGGCTTTATCAAACGCTTTTGCTATAACTTTCAGGACCCATACACAATTAAAACACTATATATTGCCTATGTGAGGTTTATACTGGAATATTGCAGCTTTGTATGGTCTCCATTTTCAATCACGCACGAAGAAAAATTAGAATCAGTACAAAAGCAATTTCTATTATATGCCCTTCGTAAATTAGGTTGGACATCATTTCCTCTTCCATCATATGAAGCACGCAGCATGCTTATAAACATACAAACATTAAAAGAGCGACGTGAATATGCAATGGTTTAGTTTGTAAACGATATCGTTTCGCAGCGCATTAACTCAGCAGAACTTTTATCAAAATTAAATTTTTATGCACCTACTCGACAACTCAGAAATCGAAATTTATTTGCCATAACCCATCATCGCAAAAATTATTCAAAATTTGGGCCATTAAATCGCAGATGACATCTTACAATCAAAACTGCGAAACCATTGACTTTTCAATGTCTCGGCATAAACTTAAACAATATTTAACGCCATACGGAATCATAACTCGTAAGAAGTAAAAATAGAATAGCAGACAATTTTTTTGATATTCTTAAGAAAAACAAATTTGTGTATGTATTTGTACTAGTCTACATCGATTGATGAAAACAAATAAATAAATAAATAAATAAATAAGCTCTATTTTGAATCTCAATGACCATTTTGACTGCTACGGCTTTATCTAAAATTATTGAAAAATAATAATATAAATTCGATTTAGGGAGGTAAAAAATACATGGAAAAAATAATCAAAACACATTGAGTAAGGAAGGTATCGAAGTTGGAGTGATTATTGAGAGGTCGTTTGTAACAAATTAAAATAGCATGAGATTTTAAAGCTACCAGATACTACTCGATTACTCTGCCTACTGGCAAACTGTGGGCCCGCTACCTCATTTATAATTCATTCCATTCATAAAGAATATTAAATGATTACCTCTCACAGCAGGCCTGGGTTCAATCCCAGTCGGCGTCACTGGGGTGTTCTGAGGCATAACATCTCTGAGCACGCCTTCGGGAAGTAAAGCCAACCGGTGAACACTCGTGTTTATTTCAGTTACCGTGGGGACGTAATTTGTGATTAGCCCCAGTCCCTTTCAAATTGTATCACTATTTATGTACGGTCCTTACATTTTAAATGACGTTTCACATTCATCTAGTGATGGCCGATTGTCATTCGAATAATCGATTAATCGATTAACGAACCGAAAAGTAAAATATTTGTAATCGGTTATATCATGCCGATATAAGCATTAACATCTCCAGAGGATCATCACCGATCGTTTCAAACATGTGCTTCACTCTCATTGGTGGAAAAATGGCAGCACAGCGAACAAAAAAAATCGATTAGTTGTTAATCGAGTAATTAAAAAATGGGACATCTCTGATTTTGGTGTGATTGTTTTGATAAAAATGAGCGCAAATTCCATCTCTACCGAGGGGGCAGCAAAACCACAAAATTACCTTGAATACGGGGGGTATTCATTGGATGAAAGGGACCGTGAAAGAGGACACTAAAATAGAATGTTTTTCTTCCGACAGTTTCATCTTAGTATTCATCTTTGGTAAAGCCCCTGTCCAAGGATGAGGGGCTTAATGATGATTTGTCAAGTGTCGCTATGATTTTTTTTTGCAATTTTTTAAAAAGCTTCAGTTCATTGATTTGAAAGGTTCATGCGAGTTAATTTCACGGAGCCGTAAATTGTAGTTTTATCATAATTTTAATATTAGCATAAAATAAAATAGTAATTTTAAATTCGCTTTTGTAATGCTAAGGTAAATAGTTTGCTTTGAGTGTAAAGTTAATTTATAAGAAAGTTCTAACAGTTTTTTTTTTGCACTTCGAAACTTGACGGGTCATACCTCTAACATAGTAGCAGTGACAGTGTCGCATGTCCTAACACCAACTGCCTGCGACTAGTGTTCGAGGGGCAGACAGGGCTGAATACGGGTCAATACTAACAAAACTTTAACACTAACATGACCCCGAAACTAACGTTCATCCATTGCACTAATAGTTATAATGTAGTTGTACTTTCCTAATAACCCATCTATCACAGACAAACAGACATAACACTCGGTTGAACAGGTTGTTCATCGAATACGCATTTGACGGTCAATTCGGGTGTTTTTGGTTGGTGGTGCCGCTACCTGTGGCGCGCACGGTCGGTTCCCTTGCGTCTGACGTCTGCACACTGGCGCCGTCTGTTCAGCGTACTATCCATCACATGATACTCAACAGATGGCGGTAGTGTTTTAGTGACTATGTTTTGTGGAGAAAAATATTAAATGGGTTATTTCTGTTTGTCTGTGCATCTATGTTTCTTTTTCGTTGTGTGTGTGTGTGTGTGTTTTTTTTTTTTTTTTTGCATGGAGGAAACCTTCAAAAAGGCCATCGTGCCACCGCTTGACGACTGGGTGCACAGTCGCGGTGACACGGTGTGTGGGATTCTTGCCGCACTAAAACCTCCTTAGACGCCTTGCCCTTTTCCCCCGGAACCACTTGTCGTATTACTTCGGAGGGGGCCGTGCATTACGCACCTCACTTTAACTCAGCTAATTGGCGCTTCCAGTTCGCTGATCGTCTCTCCAATTTGTGAGCCATTTAGCTCCCAGCGTCACGTTCTACTCGGTTATCCCTGGTGGTGGGTACAGCCTACTCTGACGGAGAGTTCTCCCGGCTTCGGCTTTCAGTTCGCACTTGTGTGAGCACATTACTACTTTCTAGTTGGTCTTCCCGCCATTTTCGCTGCAGCGCTGACATGATCTGCGTTACTGCTCTGCTGACGGCGTTAAAGGTGCCCTCCTCTCGACACATTTCTTCGACGACATTCTCCGTGCTAAGGGCGAGCATATCCTCTCGCACATCATCAAATCTAGGACATTCGAAGACCACGTGCTCTGGTGATTCTTGCACATTCCCACACTCCGGACAGAAGGGTGACGTTGTGTGTCCGAACCGATGCAGGTACTTCCTGAAGCAGGCATGACCAGACAGGAACTGCGTCAAGTGGAAGTTGACTTCACCATGCTTCCTGTTCACCCAGGTCGAAAGAGTCGGTATTAGCCTGTGTGTCCATCTACCGTTCTCTGCTGCATCCCACTCCTGCTGCCACTTAGCCATCGACTCCGTTCTCGACATTTTTCGTACTCCTCTGGTTTCTCTCGTCATATAGCACTCGTAGTCCTCCGCCAAGGTGATGCCGATTGGGATCATACCGGCGATAACGCATACTGCCTCCATCGAAATGGTTCTGTACGCACTCACGACTCGCATGGCCATGAGCCGGAACGTACTGCTCAATTTCCTTTGGTTCTGCTTCGTTTTCAGCGCTTCAATCCAGGCTGGACCTCCGTACCTTAGTATTGATGAGGACACACTAGCCAGAAGACGTCTCTTGCTGCTGCTTGAACCAGAATTGTTCGGCATGATTCTGGCTATTGCGTTGATGACCTTCGTCGCCTTCTCGCAAGCATATTCGATGTGGCTATTAAAGTTTAGCCGGTCGTCGATCATCACTCCCAGATACTTTAGCATGCGCTTCGAAGCAATGGTGTGCTCTCCAACGGTAATTTCTGCCCGCTGCACTGCTTTGCAGTTACTGACCAACATCACTTCTGTTTTGTGGTGGGCTATCTGCAGCTTCGCTCCTTGCATCCAGTTACCAATCGTATCTATCGCCTTGGCCGCCAACATTTCCACTTCTTCCAGCGTCTCACCGGTTACCGTCAAGACGACATCGTCCGCAAAGCCCACGATCTCAACTCCTTTGGGCAGCTTGAGCGTCAGCACGCCATTGTACATTCCGTTCCACAGCGTGGGACCTAGAATGGAGCCTTGGGGAACCCCCGCCGTGATTCTAAGCGATTTCTGCCCCGTGTCTGTCACGTAGACCAGGACCCGGTTCTGGAAGTAACTACTTAGAATCCTGCAGAGGTAGTCTGGAACCCTCATTCTATGGAGCGCCTTGGCGATGGCCTCCCAGCTGGCGCTATTGAATGCATTCCTCACATCAATCGTAATCACGGCGCAGTATCGATTTCCTCTCCGCTTCTGTTTGGAAGCTTTCTCG